TTCTAAATCCTAATCCTAAATCCCTAATTCTAAATCCTACTTCTAAATCCTAATGCTAAATCCTAATGCTAAATCCTAATGCTAAATCCTAATGCTAAATCCTAATGCTAAATCCTAATGCTAAATCCTAATGCTAAATTCTAAATCCTAATTCTAAATCCTAATTCTAAATCCTAATTCTAAATCCTAATTCTAAATCCTAAATCTAAATCCTAAATCTAAATCCTAAATCTAAATCCTAAATCTTAATCTTAACCTTAATCTAAATCTAATCTAATCTAATCTAATCTAATCTATCTTTCTAAGTATCTGTCTATCTGTTTGTTTGTCTGTCTGTCTATCTATTTACTTATCTAATATATCATATCCAATATATCAATTTGTTTGTCTGTCTATCTATCTATCTATCTATCTATCTATCTACCTATCTATCAATCTATCAATCTATCAACCAATCTCATATATCTACATAATATATCTGTTTATTTGTTTGTCTATTTGTCTATCAAACTAGTCTAATCTTCTCTGATCTTATCTAACCTAATCTAAGCTAATCTAATCCAACCTCTCTAATCTTTCAAGTCTGTCTATTAATCTATCTAATCTATCTAATCCACCTAGTCTACCTTTTGTATCTGATCTATCTAATATGCCTACTCTATCCAAGTGACCTTACCTATCTATTCTATCTAAATAATCTACATGAAAGCAACGCAGAGAAATCCCCACCATGACATTTATACATGTTCTTACTGGCACATCTTCTGGCATTCTATCTGACATATCTTCTGACATTCTATTTGGCATTCTATCTGGCATATCTTCTGGCATTCTATCTGGCAAATCTTCTGGCATTCTATCTGGCATTCTATCTGGCATATCTTCTGGCATTCTATCTGACATATCTTCTGGCATTCTATCTGGCATTCTATCTGGCAGTCTATTTGGCATTCTATCTGGCATATCTTCTGGCATATCTTCTGACATTCTTTCTGACATTCTTTCTAACTTTCTTCTGCACATTCTTTGTCCCATATCTTCCTACCTGAGGTCCGGCAGGGAACACTTGGCGTGGATACTCGCGGTTGAGGTCCGGCAGGGAACACTGGGCGTGGATGGTCGTGGTTGAGGTCCGGCAGGAACACTGGGCGGGGATGATCGTGGTTGAGGTCCGGCAGGGAACACTGGGCGTGGATGGTCGTGGTTGAGGTCCGGCAGGGAACACTGGGCGTGGATGGTCCTGGTTGAGGTCCGGCAGGGCACACTGACGTGGATGGTCGTGGTTGGGGTCCGGCAGGGAACACTGAGCATGGATGGTCGTGGTTGAGGTCCGACAGAGAACACTGTGGATCGCGGGTCGCAGTTGGACGAGGAGGACGACCAGGAGGACGACGAGGAGGAGGACGAGGAGGAGGAGGAGGAGAGGAGGAGGAGATGAGGAGGAGAGGAGGAGAGGAGGAGCAGGCAACTGACATAAAATCTAACAACCCTCACCTGGCAGGTGGGGAAAAAACAGTTTCTCTTGAAACAAATTCCATTGCGGTCCTATCCTGTACAGTACTCTGACTGATGCAGGTTTCATGGAGTTTCCATGGAGTTTCCATGCAGTTTCCATGCAGGTTTCATGTTGGTTACATGCTGGGTTTGCTGATTTAGCTTACTGGTGTGTAACCTCCATGACAACTCCCTGGAACCTGCATGGAATCTGCATGGAACCTCCATGGAACCTGCATCAGGCAGAGTGCATGGTAAAACCAACAAGTGTAGATAGAGGCATCACCTCCATAACGCACATGGAAACTGCATGAAATCTACATCAATTCCCCATGGAACCTGCATGGAACCTCCATGAAAACTGCATCAGTTAGAAGGCGCCATGCAACCATCACGTTTAGACACAAGAAACATCGGAACCTACATGAAACCTCCATGAAACCTACATCAATTCTCCATGGCACCTGCGTGGATACTCCATCAAAGAAGCGCCATACAAGCACCAGGTGTAGATACAGGGAACAGAGACTTTTTTTTTAGTGGACACTACGTGGAAACCATCAGACGCTTTGACGCAAATTGATCGCAAATCGATCGTAAATCGATCGTAAACTGATCGTAAAAAAACGCACAAAAACTGTCATAGCATCTGTGCATTTTGATGTCGTTTTCACTAGGTCATCTGTCTTTGTTGACGTCCCTTTTTGTTTCTGCACTGGAAAAGTCAATTTCTTCCAGAGTTTCTATTTATCCTGAGTGTTCACTGCTTGGTGGTTTCGATTTTGGCAAGGTTTCAAATGTGAATTTTTGTTTGATGTCATTTTGATGGAGTTTTATGTCCGTCTCGGTGTCAACTTGATGGAGGTTCCTAACATATAATATTGCAAACTAAGTTAATTAAAAGACGAAACCACCAAGAGAAATGAACTCACTTATGTCATCTTGGATTCTATGATCACCAAACCATATGAATATATGAATTGGCAAGTGCCGTTTTCTACAGGCCTTAGGTTCTTGTCGATGTCATATTGATGTTGTTTTATGGCCTTCTTATTCGTTTTTAGGCCGATGTCAAATCGATCGACAAAGGATCGCAAAATGATCGCAAAACAACGTCGAAATCCTACATCAAAATGACACATTACAAAGTCCACACTTGAAACCCCGGCCTTGCCAACATCAAAACCGCCAAGCAACGAACACTCAGGATAAATAGAAATTCTGGAAGAATTTGACTTTTCCAGTACAGAAACCAAAAGAGACATCAGCAAAGACAGATGGCCTAGTGAAAACGACATCAAAACGCACAGATGCTATAACAGTTTTTGTGCGATCAATTTAGTTACGATCGATTTGCGATCGATTTGCATCAATGCGTCTGATGGTTTCCATGTAGTTTCCATTAAAAAAACTCGAACATGTTCCCTGTATCTACACCTGATGATTGTATGGCGTCTTCCTTGATGGAGTATCCACGCAGGTTCCATGGAGAATTGATATAGGTTTCATGGAGGTTTCATGTAGGTAACCGTTGTTTCTTGTGTCTAAACGTGATGGTTGCATGGCGCCTTCTAACTGATGCAGTTTTCATGGAGGTTCCATTCAGGTTCCGTGGAGAATTGATGTAGATTTCATGCAGTTTCCATGTGCGTCATGGAGGTGATGCCTCTATCTACACTTGTTGGTTTTACCATGCACTCTGCCTGATGCAGGTTCCATGGAGGTTCCATGCAGATTCCATGCATGTTCCACGGAGTTGTCATGGAGGTTACACACCAGTAAGCTAAATTTGCAAACCCAGCATGTAACCAACATGAAACCTGCATGGAAGCCCATGAAACCTGCATCAGTCAGAGTACAGGATAGGACCACACGGTTTCAAGAAACTGTCTTTCCCCCATTTCAAAAATAAATAGACAAGTACAGAAAAATGCACTAGAATTCAATAATCAATTAAACAATCACGTGAAATTATTGGACATTAAGTAGGTGTACATTTTCCGAGATACAAGATGAATATCAATTCAAAAACAAACCTAATCTGGTAGCAATCATTGTTGTTTTAAATTTGTTTTCTTTATTTTCCACGATTTCATTGTTTGCAGGGTTTGATATTTTTTGTTTTTTCTAAGTTTACAAAACCATCAATTCCCAGACTTCCAAACCACCAACCCAAACCACCACGTAAGCACAAGTTGAAAGGTGTGACCATACGCCATCGTCCCCTCAAACCCCAAATTTGATCTTGGCATCTTTGACATTTCCCCTGAATTCCACTGCGGGTTGGCGCTAGAAGACTGCGTCGCTAGCCCAACTGCTAGGCCTTTGTGGATTTCTTGAGTGACGGCAACATTGGCAACATCCAAAGAGATCCCGTGCTGGCCGATCAATCTGATAGACCCACGCGCGAAGACTTGGAGCAGACATTGCTTAAATGAGAAATGCCGATTTCCTGTGCCAGGAAATTCCGGCTGTGACTTCTATCAGGATTTAAAATGATCCTAGACCTTCCAACGTTCAATAATTTCTGTACTTTTGGGCTTTTGGCCGCAAATGACCGCAAAAAACCGCAAATGCCGCAAATGGTTCAAATTGGACCAATCGTTCAGAAACACACTAGAACAACATGAAATTGCAAGAATGAAGCTGACTTGACGTATCTTGGCATGCTAGATGGGAGTTTCTGCATGTTGACAAACAAAGTTGACCTGCTTAGCAGACGGCAAGAAAAACAAATCTACCGGTTGGTGAAGATTGGTGAAGAATATGACAAAACAACTAAAGCGCTCAAAGAAGGCTTTGGTGCGACGCTAAAAGCAATCTTTGCTGGATGGGAGACACCAGACCGCTATAGACTATAGACGTTGAAACAGACCGTTTTTTTTTCTGAATTTGTGAAAAAAACAGAACGCCCATGTTTTTTTGCAAGAAATGCCCGCAGGAAATTCCAAAACTGCTCTGAATTCAACAAAAATGTCGACAGTTTTCCCGCAAAAAGTACGCAAATTTCCCGCAAAAATACGCAAATATCCGCAAAAGTACGCAAATCATCGCAAATCGGGATTTCTTAATTATTGCTGCGGTTCATGCATGTGACAAATCGCATCAAATCGCAGCTTGTTGGAATGAAAACTGATATTTCTGCAAACTAAGCATGCTTCAAACTAACTATTTTCAAATATGGCTTAGTATTCCTGCATGTTTGAGGCTTTGAATCTTTGGGGGCTCCAATCACCAACACAAACTCTGCAAATTTAGGAAAGCATGGACATTATCACCAGCAATTCCAATCGGTGAATTGTGAGGGACCCATTGCGGCAAGATATTTTAACCACCCGTGCCATATCTAAGGTGGCAGTCAGAACTGCTGTAAAGAGTTCACTTTTTGTTGAAACCGTTTACATTTAAGATTAAACATTTCAATCGGCCCAAAAGTGCAGAAATCCCAATCGTACAGAATTTTCCCCTGAATTCCACTGCGGGTTGGCGCTAGAAGACTGCGTCGCTAGCCCAACTGCTAGGCCTTTGTGGATTTCTTGAGTGACGGCGACATTGGCAACATCCAAAGAGATCCCGTGCTGGCCGATCAATCTGATAGACCCACGCGCGAAGACTTGGAGCAGACATTGCTTAAATGAGAAATGCCGATTTCCTGTGCCAGGAAATTCCGGCTGTGACTTCTATCAGGATTTAAAATGATCCTAGACCTTCCAACGTTCAATAATTTCTGTACTTTTGGGCTTTTGGCCGCAAATGACCGCAAAAAACCGCAAATGCCGCAAATGGTTCAAATTGGACCAATCGTTCAGAAACACACTAGAACAACATGAAATTGCAAGAATGAAGCTGACTTGACGTATCTTGGCATGCTAGATGGGAGTTTCTGCATGTTGACAAACAAAGTGGACCTGCTTAGCAGACGGCAAGAAAAACAAATCTACCGGTTGGTGAAGATTGGTGAAGAATATGACAAAACAACTAAAGCGCTCAAAGAAGGCTTTGGTGCGACGCTAAACGCAATCTTTGCTGGATGGGAGACACCAGACCGCTGTAGACTATAGACGTTGAAACAGATTGTTTTTTTTTCTGAATTTGTGAAAAAACAGAACGCCCATGTTTTTTTGCAAGAAATGCCCGCAGGAAATTCCAAAACTGCTCTGAATTCAACAAAAATGTCGACAGTTTTCCCGCAAAAAGTACGCAAATTTCCCGCAAAAATACGCAAATATCCGCAAAAGTACGCAAATCATCGCAAATCGGGATTTCTTAATTATTGCTGCGGTTCATGCATGTGACAAATCGCATCAAATCGCAGCTTGTTGGAATGAAAACTGATATTTCTGCAAACTAAGCATGCTTCAAACTAACTATTTTCAAATATGGCTTAGTATTCCTGCATGTTTGAGGCTTTGAATCTTTGGGGGCTCCAATCACCAACACAAACTCTGCAAATTTAGGAAAGCATGGACATTATCACCAGCAATTCCAATCGGTGAATTGTGAGGGACCCATTGCGGCAAGATATTTTAACCACCCGTGCCATATCTAAGGTGGCAGTCAGAACTGCTGTAAAGAGTTCACTTTTTGTTGAAACCGTTTACATTTAAGATTAAACGTTTCAATCGGCCCAAAAGTGCAGAAATCCCAATCGTACAGAATTTTCCCCTGAATTCCACTGCGGGTTGGCGCTAGAAGACTGCGTCGCTAGCCCACCTGCTAGGCCTTTGTGGATTTCTTGAGTGACGGCGACATTGGCAACATCCAAAGAGATCCCGTGCTGGCCGATCAATCTGATAGACCCACGCGCGAAGACTTGGAGCAGACATTGCTTAAATGAGAAATGCCGATTTCCTGTGCCAGGAAATTCCGGCTGTGACTTCTATCAGGATTTAACATGATATAATATTGTCATGTACTTTCTATCATGTATTGTCATATGATTGGCGATTGGGGTTCTAGTTGTGGGTATCATGTAGGTATACCAAACCAGGGTCTCCGAATTCATCCGAATTCTATAGTCAAAGGAAGTTTAGGGGGAGAAACTTCCGTGTTACGGACTTTTAGAATGTCAGGGAAAGAGTTAGTCAAAGAAAGAGTTAGCAAAGAAAGAGTTCGTCAGGGAAAGAGTTAGTCAAAGAAAGAGTTAGTGAGGGAAAGAGTTAGTCAAAGAAAGAGTTAGCGAGGGAAAGAGTTAGTCAAAGAAAGAGTTAGCAAAGAAACAGTTAGTCAGGGAAAGAGTTAGTCAAAGAAAGAGTTAGTCAGGGAAAGAGTTAGTCAAAGAAAGAGTTAGTCAGGATATATGAGGTAGTCAAAGAAAGAGTTAGTCAGGATATATGAGGTAGTCAAAGAAAGAGTTAGCAAAGAAACAAGTTAGTCAAAGAAAGAGTTAGTGAGGGAAAGAGTTAGTCACAGAAAGAGTTAGCAAAGAAATTGTTCCCTCACTGTAAATGGGATTGCAAGTGGTGCTGGTGGAGGAGTTGCCGATGGAGTTTTGAAGGAAGTCTCGCACGAAATGCGTTTTTGAGAGATAGCAGATGCACGAAACCCTATGTTTTTCCATACAAAGTCCGTCCCCGAACCTCGATGATCTATACCTCTGCGGTGCGACAGGTGCGAGACGGTCTCGTGTGTGGTCGGATCATGCTCGGATCATGGTCGGATCGGTTCCGCATTGTAAATGGGGTTTCACCTGTGTTTCGTGCATGTGCGGTCGACAGAATTCCATTGTGATTTGCAACTGTAGGATCGTTCCCACATTGTAAATGGGGTTGCAAGTGGTGCTGGTGGATGAGTTGCCGATGGAATTCCATTGTGATTTGCAACTCTAGGATCGTTCCCTCACTGCAAATGGGATTGCAAGTGGTGCTGGTGGAGGAGTTGGCGATGGGGTTTTGAAGGAAGTCTCGCACGAAATGCGTTTTTGAGAGATAGCAGATGCACGAAGCCCTATGTTTTTCCATACAAAGTCCGTCCCCGAACCTCGATGATCTACCTCTGCGGTGCGACGGTTGCGAGACGGTCTCGTGTGTGGTCGGATCATGGTCGGATCGGTCTCGGACCATGGTCGGATCGGTTCCGCATTGTAAATGGGGTGTCACCTGTGTTTCGTGCATTTGCGGTCGACAGAATTCCATTGTGATTTGTAACTGTAGGGTCGTTCCTGCAATGCAAATGTGATTGCAAGTGGTGCCGGTGGATGAGTTGCCGATGGAATTCCATTGTGATTTGCAACTGTAGGATCGTTCCCGCAATGTAAATGGGATTGCATGTGGTGCTGGTGGAGGAGTTGGCGATGGAGTTTTGGAGGAAGTCTCGCACGAAATGCGTTTTTGAGAGATAGCAGATGTACGAAACCCTATGTTTTTCCATACAAAGTCCGTCCCCGAACCTCGATGATCTACCTCTGCGGTGCGACGGGTGCGAGACGGTCTCGTGTGTGGTCGGATCATTCGGACCATGGTCGGATCATTCTCGGACCATGGTCGGATCGGTTCCGCATTGTAAATGGGGTTTCAAGTGTTTTTCGTGCATGCGCGGTCGACAGAATTCCATTGTGATTTGCGACTGTAGGATCGTTCCCGCAATGTAAATGGGATTGCAAGTGGTGCTGGTGGATGAGTTGCCGATGGAGTTTTGAAGGAAGTCTCGCGCGAAATGCGTTTTTGGCGCTAGTGATTTTCCTTCTAAAAATCATTTTCAAAAGTGCTTCAAAATCGTCTTTTTTTCGCTCTGGCGTCGAGATCCGGTTTTGGAGCTACAATTTCCGACGCCGTTGCGCGTAGTTCTATATTGTGTTTTGCAACTCAGTCTGCGCAGATCGCATTGTAATGGCTGCGTCAAGGTTGCTTCATGCTGTGGCTGCATGCGTAATACTATTGTCTTTTGCAGCTGGACTTCGTAAATCGTATTGGAGTGGCTGCATGAAGGCTGCGACAGTGATTTGTCAGCAGATTTTCTCCATTTTGGCGCTAGTGATTTTCCTTTTAAAAATCCTTTTAAAAAGTGCTTCAAAATCGTCTTTTTTTCGCTCTGGCGTCGAGATCCGGTTTTGGAGCTACAATTTCCGACGCCATTGCGCGTAGTTCCCTTGTGCTTTGCAACTCAGTCTCCGCAGATCGCATTGGAATGGCTGCGTCAAGGAGTTTTGAAGGAAGTCTCGCACGAAATGCGTTTTTGGCGCTAGTGATTTTCCTTCTTAAATCCTTTTAAAAAGTGCTTCAAAATCGTCTTTTTTTCGCTCTCTGGCGTCGAGATCCGGTTTTGGAGCTACAATTTCCGACGCCATTGCCCGTAGTTCTCTTGTGTTTTGCAACTCAGTCTCCGCAGATCGCATTGTAATGGCTGCGTCAAGGTTGCTTCATGCTGTGGCTGCATGCGTAATACTATTGTCTTTTGCAGCTGGACTTCGTAAATCGTATCGGAGTGGCTGCATGAAGGCTGCCACAGTGATTTGTTGGCAGATTTTCTTCATTTTGGCGCTAGTGAATTTCCTTCTAAAAATTCTTTTAAAAAGTGCTTCAAAATCGTCTTTTTTTCGCTCTGGCGTCGAGATCCATCCGGTTTTGGAGCTACAATTTCCGATGCCATTGCGCGTAGTTCTCTTGTGTTTTGCAACTCAGTCTCCGCAGATCGCATTGGAATGGCTGCGTCAAGGTTGCTTCTTGCTTTGGCTGCATGCGTAATGTCTTTTGCAGCTGGATCTTGTACATCGTCTTGGACTGGCTGCATGAAGGCTGCGAAATGGATTTGTTAGCAGATTTTCTCCATTTTGGCGCTGGTGTTTTTTTGTTGCACGTAGGTTTAGAGCAGTGTGAAGTGTGGGGCGTGAAGAGTGCAGTGTGAAGTGTGCAGTGTGAAGGAAGCAGTGGGAAGTGAGAAGTGTGAGGTGTGGAGTGTGAAGTGTGGACTGTGAAGTGTGGAGTGCGAAGAGCGCAGTGTGAAGTGTGAAGTGTGAAGTGTGAGGTTTGGAGTGTGAAGGAAGCAGTGAGAAGTGTGAAGTGTGGACTGTGAAGTGTGAAGTGTGAGTGAAGTGTGGAGTGTGAAGTGCGAAGTGGGAAGTGTGAAGTTTGGAGTGTGAAGTTTGGAGTGGGAAGGAAGCAGTGAGAAGGGGAAGTGTGTTGCTGTGAAGTGTGGGTGTGGCGAAGTGGAGAAGTGTGAAGTTTGAGTGTGAAGAAGCAGGAGAAGTGAGAAGTGTGAAGTGAGAAGTGTGAAGTGTGGAGTGTGAAGTGTGGAGTGTGAAGTGCGAAGTGAAGTGTGAAGTGTGAAGTTTGGAGTGTGAAGGAAGCAGTGAGAAGTGAGAAGTGTGAAGTGAGAAGTGTGAAGTGTGGACTGTGAAGTGTGAAGTGGGAAGGAAGCAGTGAGAAGTGAGAAGTGTGAAGTGTGGACTGTGAAGTGTGAAGTGTGAAGTGCGAAGTGAGAAGTGTGAAGTTTGGAGTGTGAAGGAAGCAGTGAGAAGTGAGAAGTGTGAAGTGAGAAGTGTGAAGTGTGGACTGTGAAGTGTGGAGTGTGAAGTGCGAAGTGAGAAGTGTGAAGTTTGGAGTGTGAAGGAAGCAGTGAGAAGTGAGAAGTGTGAAATGTGGAGTGTGAAGTGTGAAGTGTGAAGTGCGAAGTGAGAAGTGTGGACTGTGAAGTGTGAAGTGTGGACTGTGAAGTGTGAAGTGTGAAGTGTGGACTGTGAAGTGTGAAGTGTGCAGTGTGAAGTGTGAAGTGTGAGGTTTGGAGTGTGAAGGAAGCAGTGAGAAGTGAGAAGTGTGGAGTGGAGTGTGAAGTGTGGAGTGTGAAGTTTGAAGTTTGGAGTGCGAAGAGTGCAGTGTGCAGTGTGAGGTGTGGAGTGTCGAGGGAAGGACACGGTCGGGACAGGTTGTCTTTGAACTATAGGTCATTTATGTTTGGGAAACTTCCGCCGCCGGCTTGCCCGGGTCTATGTTATAGTACGTTGTTATCTATCTAGCTGTCTACAGAATTTGGTTCCATCTACCTATTTATCGACTTTCGACCTACCCACTTACCCACGTATCTACCTATTTACTGCATCATTATCATCCATTATCTACCTATCTAGCCAACCATCTATGGCATGCCCTTCGGTTGACCCCAAAAGTAGTTCCGCACCTTAACAAATCGATTGAAATTGTGCCTTCAGTTTTTGTGCTGATCGAATGGAGTGAGACATGATCGGCCAGAAAGGTTTTTCGGCATTTTCTGGCGGAGCAAACATGTGACAAACGGCTGAGCTTTGGCTGGCTCAATGGGGCAAACGGCAAGCGCAGCCGAGCTTGCATGCCGTCCTTCAGCTGCACCCGGCTGTGGCAAAACTTGAATGAATTATATGTACATATATATATACAGTATCAGTATATGATAGTATATGATTATGGGATAAATCACTGACTGAACATGAAAATGATAGAGTGTACAGGTGTCCTTTTGAATAAGAGGCGGTCTTAGGGATCCCTATAAGCCTATAACTATTATCACTGTCATCATGGAGAACAGTCAGCTGAGAGACGCCTAGGATTATGGTAAGGGCGCCATGGAAGGATTTGGCAGTTTAGATCCGTCCCGGTTGAGCGCTCCACATGGCAGTTTGCTTCGTTTTGATGTGTGGATGTTTGTACTGTAGATGTTCAGGCCTTCTTTATTTCGATTCATTTTCTACCCTTCAATTGAAGGATAACCCCAAACTGACAATTATATAATTTTTGGATGATCCCCATCAAGCAAGGTCCAAAACCTTCTTTCATGTGTATAGTAAAGGAGTTGTGTCATACTGTCATATTGTTTTTCCAGGGTAAGCAAACTGTCATATTGTTTTTCCAGGGTAAGCAAATCCTGGTTTCGTAGGCGGGCGTAAGCATTTTGGTGATAGTTGCATGTCCTAAGACCTAAGACAGCTGGTTTAATGAAAATCATAGGCATTCCAGCTGGTTTAATGAAAATCATAGGCATTCCAGCTGGTTTAATGAAAATCATAGGCATTCCAGCTGGTTTAATGAAAATCATAGGCATTCAATGGCATTCCAATGGCATTCCCATAGTTTGGGCTGAAACCAGCCTCATCAGCCTCGCAGGCCGTCGATGGTGTCCACCAGCGAAACGCCGGCGCGTGCTTGGACCCAGCCCAGAGGAGATGGGCCACAGACGGCCACAGATCTCCCAGCTGCAATCCCCTTGAGCCGACTTGCAGTCTGAGTGAACGTATCATATTAATGATAGTATAACATAGACCCGGGCAAGCCGGCGGCGGAAGTTTCCCAAACATAAATGACCTATAGTTCAAAGACAACCTGTCCCGACCGTGTCCTTCCCTCGACACTCCACACCTCACACTGCACACTGCACTCTTCGCACTCCAAACTTCAAACTTCACACTCCACACTTCTCACTTCTCACTGCTTCTTCACACTCCAAACCTCACACTTCACACTTCACACTGCACACTTCACACTTCACAGTCCACACTTCACACTTCACAGTCCACACTTCACACTTCACAGTCCACACTTAACACTTCTCACTTCACAGTCCACACTTCTCACTTCGCATTTCACACTTCACACTCCACATTTCACACTTCTCACTTCTCACTGCTTCCTTCACACTCCAAACTTCACACTTCACACTTCTCACTTCGCACTTCACACTCCTCACTTCACACTTCACAGTCACACTTCTCACTTCTCACTGCTTCCTTCACACTCCAAACTTCACACTTCACACTTCTCACTTCGCACTTCACACTCCACACTTCACACTTCACACTTCACAGTCCACACTTCACACTTCACACTTCTCACTTCGTACTTCACACTTCACACTTCACAGTCCACACTTCACACTTCACACTTCTCACTTCGCACTTCACA